CGAACATTCACAAGCACCTTACCAAAGGACATTAGATAATGATAAAGTGCAAAATCCACAATTTTACACATCAGTCTCAAACGCTGTAGTTTTTAGGCAAATTATAATGCATCAGCCATCACTGCAACGGTGACCAGATAACCACAATAGATATAGGAATGAGGTTGGGTTTTTCCTGGAATGCACAGCACAGAACTACTCCACTAATTAAAGGTTTCGCTAAATGTACACACAAGAAGTGTACACAGTATGCGCATGTAATGTGAAATGTTCATATTCATATGAAATAGAGAGAGAGTGAGAGGGCTCACACATTTAGTACTCACCACAGGAAAGAAGTAGACACCCCTGTTCTTTGAAACCATTTCTTCCTCTATTCTGGCACAAAAATACTATAAATTGTGTGAAAGCTACATAATCTAAAGTTGCCATCAATATTGGTGACTAAAGATTTCTCAACAATTACGCTTTCCTCTTTTGTTGCTTACCTTTACTTACACTTCTTGCCAATTACAGCACTAATACCCTCACAAAGTCATTTAAGTCCCATTCCAGAGAACTGGATCCATATGCTGTTATTTGAGTGCAATACTGCTCTGTTTGCCGTTTTGTGTGTAAATGATCCCATGGCACTATTTGGCAAAAAGATAAGAAATGTTCTCTGGTGCCTTAGTCAATAGTTGCCTTTCAACTAACTTCACCAACACCATTGTTATTATATGGGATCTGTTGGGTGCAACTTGACATCTGAATTTCTCCATATTCCAACAGTACCTAATTTCAAAAGTCATTGGGTGCAAAACATTTAAGATATTCCATGATTGTGAAAGGTATTATATATAGTTTCTTTCTTTACAAGAATAGGATCCAAAGATTAGAAAGGACTGTCAGCTTTTAGTTAAAGAACCAGATTAGATCTTTGTTTAATTATGTTTTTTACACATCATGTGAAACACAGTATTTTGGGAATTGTGACCAATGAATAATCTTCTTGCTCAACTTACTATTACTGACAGCTCTGAGATACTTCCAGTGACAACACAGTGTCTTGAACTTACAAGGAAAGAGGTTTAGATAAAATGAACAAACTAAACAGAAATTTTAAAGTTGCTCATACACACCAGACATGGATATTAAAATCCTATATAATAGTAGTTAGCTGACCTGGTTTTGCTGGTGTTTCACAAAATAAACTGAAATATAAAGTGTATTGTATTCCCATCTAATTAATAGAAGTAGACACATTCAGGTCTGAGCTGTCGCCTACAAGCTCCATCTTTTACAGACTGCTACACTTCACATTCCCTGTGCATAAAAACCCAAGTTATGAAACTGAACGATCTATGCTCTTTCTATACAACTCAACAACTATAACTACCACAGACTCAAAAGCAAAATACTGCAGATGGTGACAATCTAAAATAATAGAGAATGCTCGAAACACCCAGCAGGTCTGGCAGTAGTCTGGAGACGGAAACAGGGTTGGCATTTCAGATGTGTGACCTTTCATCAATTCTGACGAAAAAGGTCATTGACCTGAATAATTAATTCTGTTTCTCTCCCCACGGATTCTGCCTGGCATGGTTGGTATTTCCAGCACTTTGTTTTTATTCTAAATGTAAACTAACTGCAGTCTTCCCAATAAATTAAACACACAATAAAACCCAGGGAGGTTCCAAGTTCAACACAACCTCATGCTGAATTAGCAGATCATAGCAAGCAGTGAGATGTTGCAATTCAGCATCAGTGTCCCCAGGGTTGAGAAGACAAAAAAAAATAAAATTTCTGATCCTGGTTGTTACCCAGCGACTCTGTGTGAATGTTTGGTGAACACAGAATAAAGCTCTGAAGAACACTGGAGTCAAATGAACATGTCACATAAACACATTGGCTACAACAGCAGGTCAGAGGCTAGGAATGCTGCAGGAAGCACCTCACCTCCTGACTCCCCTAAGCCAAGGCCCAAGTCAGGAGTGTGATGGAATACTCCCCACTTGCCTGGATATGTGCAGCTCCAACAACACACATGAAGCTCGACACTATCCAGGACAAAGCAGACTGCTTGATTGGCACTACATCCACAAGCATCCAGTCCCTCCACAATCAAAGCTCAGTAGCAGCAGTGTTTACTAAGTTCAAGATGCACTGCAGCAATTTACCGACGATCCTTAAATAGGACCTTCCAAACACACAACCACTTCAATGCAGAAGGACAAGGACAGCAGATACATGAGAACCCCACTACCTACAAGTTCCCCTTGAAGCCACTCAACATTCTGACTTGGAAATATATTGCCATTCTTCAATGTCGCTGCGTCAAAATCCTGGAATTCCCTCCCTAAGGCCATTGTGGGTCAACCCACAGCACACGGCGTGCAGTGGATCAAGAAGGCAGCTCACCACCACCTTCTTCTTCTCAAGGGCAACTAGGGACAGGTAGTAAATGCTGGCCAGCCAGTGATGCCCATGTCTCACAAGCGAATGAAAAAAACTGCACGCTATCTAATGTAGATTCAAATTTCAAGAATGACAATAGATCACTACTTAACATTTCTATCCCTTCCCCATCAAAAACAACAAAAACTGGGTCCAAACAAAAAGTGTCATCTTTCTGACTAAAATTGGCCATAGGGGAATCAGAAAGTTGTTACAATTTAGTGTTAGGATTCTACATTAAACGGCATTTGGAACAGGAATAGTAACCAAGGAATATTTTTTTCTGAATTGTGCAGTAATGCTGCAGAGAACTGTGGTACCTATGGAACTCTACCTCAAGACAAATCACCAGATCTAGAAAAGAAAGGGAGGGGAGAATACAAAACTAAGGAAAAAGTAGCATTTAGTGAAATGAAACTTACTTCCTCCTGAAAATTTGTAAACTTAAAAGATTGAGTTTTTTGACCTTGACAAAACCTTTGGGGCTTCATTTCTTCCATCTTGACTTGTCAAATTCAGGAACAGGCAATCTGACCTGTACACATGGATCCCAATTCTATCATTAATCTTTGAATCAGCCAATGTTAGTCAAGTTCAAGTTTCGTCCACTAGAGATTGACTACATCAACAGTCAACTATTGACTGGAAAATTCAATGCCAACTTCTAATAAAAACTGAACTTACTAAGAGATCAGTAGCTCCATCAAGCATTTTGCTTGGAATTTTCCTTAAATGGCCTCTTCCAACACACACAAACCTATATTAATGCATTGAGTGCAAAGCGTCAATACAGCCCACAGAGAAGGCAAGGTTTGAGAAGAGGGAAAAGATTTCTCTCGTTTGAATTTTCAGATACCATTGTAGCTTATGATCCATGGCCCTGCCAAATCTTATTACACAGTAATGTTAATGATAAAACAAAATCGGACTTAATGTGAGGAAAAACCAACAATAATTTTTAAAGTTTGAACTTCAATGCAAGCATTTGCACCACGATCTCTGTCTCAGGTATTGTCTGTGGAACCAGATTGATTGACAACATTAAGCCCGTAAACAAAGCCGCAACAAACTAAATTGATCATTCAACACCCGAGACTATTTCCTGGCCTATCCACATATTTCAAACTCTCCTAACCCATATGAAAACTGAAACAATAAGGAATTTACAGGAAATCCACAATATGACAGGCAGTATTTATAGAAGGAACTGAGGTGTTAATGATTGACAAAAAAGGTCATTCTTTCTTTTTCATCACAGAGGCTGACTACTCTGTTAAAGCCTTTAGCTTTTCAAATTTTGCTGATAAAAGAAATCTAGCACTGTAGCGAATAAAGTTTGTAGCAATCCCCAGTGCTAAATATATTTAAAACAAAACACAGAGCAACAGTAAAATGTAACTCTATTCAGAGTGTTTCAGGCAGGGGGTGTAATGATAGGAGGAAGGAGGGATCACTTGTCAATTTTCTCTTTGCCTTGGAGTATAAGTTACTTTCATTGTATTTGTATGGCTAGTTTAGTTTTCATCTCAGGTCTTAATGTACCTGTGCACACAGGATACAAACATCAAGTGCCTCTTCCCACCATTATTAAACTTGCAAGCAAAATGTTGTCAAATCTGTGGCATAAAAACTGGAGCTGTGTGCAGAGAGTTAATAGATTCTACTTGTTCTGGGAATGAACTGGATTCGGGGTGAAGCAGAATCCTCAATTTATTAACAAGACCCAGCAACTGACTCCACTAAAAAGTAATGCTCATCTCAATCTCACAGGCTTGATAATTAGCAACTCCTTCCAAATAAAGCAAAAGGTCTTATGCAGAGAGTCATTTGATAATACAGGTGTCAAAGATTCTGAAGAGAGATGAAAAGGCATGTAACATGGGGATACATCTCCAGTGAGCAATGAGGGCGATTTGCTGGGGACACTGTCAGCTATCCTGCGGGAGGGGTAACAGGAGCAGACCTAACAACAAAGTGCCAGGCACAGGCTCCATCCATAGCACCTCACTCACTCCCTTTTAACTACTGCTCCAAGTAATTAAAATCGGGCAAGTTTCACCATAAGGTCAAGATGGAACATTCACACATATGTTCAAAATCGATACACTTACGTTACCTCATTTTACCATTTAACAGAGCGGTGCCTGTGTAACTTGCATGCCTGATCTTTAAAAGGCCACTTCATTCTGTACACTACAGTATATCTAATTTCAGTTCGCACTTAGGGCTACAAACAGAACAGGTATTGAGAGAAGGTATTGATGAACCCTGAACGCTGAGCCTGAGCACAATTTAAACCAAATTCCATGGAGAGCGGACAGGGCGTTCAACAAATGATGGTCTCTCCGTTTGGTCTGTTATTTTTTTTGAATTTCATGTAAAGAGCCAGAGAGTCCGCCTACCAAGGCTACAGGACCCAGAAGTCTCCCTGCACAAATGCCTGGCTGAACCGAGCGAGAAATGTTCCTGTTCTCCCAGGCGGCAGGCAGCTCCGGTGCGGCTTGTACAATGTTAAACTCCCCCACCCCCCACCAGATCCCTACTGACCATGAACCGGTACTAACCCCAAATGCTGCTCTTCATCCGAGCGCCGAGTCACGGTCGGCCCCTTTGTGTTTCCTAGTCCTTCCCCCTCGAACTCACTTCGTTCTCTCTCTATCCTTCAGTCCCGGACCCAAACGTGTCAGTTTCGCGGAGCAGCCAACCGGAAAACGGCGTCTTCTGGTAAAAATGTAGTCGAAAAGCACCTCTGATTCATTGCTGCCATTTTGAACGCCTTGTAATGAAAATGACCGATTGCACAATGTTAAAATTCCCCATTTTTTCTGCCGCTGGTGCTAGCACGGATCCATTCTCTGCAATGACTGACTGTTCTGGCTGGAAAGCCCCTTATGTCAATATCACTTCCTCTGCCTCTGGAAATCCCCTTCTCTCTAAACAATATAACACCCAGTGCGCGCACACACAGCTACAGCGCTGCACTCAGCAACTCCGTGCCTTAAAGAGACACAAGTGGTTCAAAAAGTGGTGTTTATGTGGACCATCTTACCGGCTCCTAGTTGGCTGAAATTTAGAATCAACATTTGCTGAGGCACATGTTAAATCGAAAGGCTGCCAAATATGGCAGTTGAAACATTTCGCGTTAGGTTAAGGTTTGCAATAGTTAAATTGAGAAATCGTGGGTTGTTAGAAAGAAGAAAAAGAGCACCGGTCTCGGCATCAGTGACGTTAACAAATATCCAGATACAAAAAAAATGCAACGATATCTGCAATTTCGCTGGAATGAAAGAGGTTTGCACCATCTGATGTCATCAGCCTGCGAAATCGGGCTGATTCCTTCATTGGATGGTATTTGTCTACATCAACTCCTCAAAATAGCCCTCTCTCAAATTAGAATACTTGTGCCCACTTATTTTTGTTTAAATATCAAACGTCAGTCCCCTTTCCTTCCCATGAAACTCGGTAGGTTGTGACATTATCTGAACGTGGGAACCCTGGTGTAAGTGGATGAATAAGATGTCCTATTGGCAACAAACAACTTTGTGGATTTTGCCATTTGTCATTGACATCATCCGTTTGCTTTCTTCTGCAGCCTTCCTCAAATTTCCTCTCCCACCAAAACTCAGCCGACCTCCTTAGCCAATTTTCTCGTCGTTTCCGCTGTGATGCTTCTGAGTACATCTTTGTTTTGATTCCATCCTTTCTGGACTACAACTCCCCTTCCCGGCTTCCAAACTACCTCAACACTTCCTGTGTCTCTCTCCAGACAACACTCACCTTCCTGTCTCCTTCAAATACAACCTTGATCCTTCTGTCCATGTATTCTTCAAAACCACAACCCCTATCATTTTCCACAGCCTATGGACAACATGCCCAACTATATTCCCATTCTTCCCTCAACTCCACATTTGACTCTGTTCAGTTAGATTTCTCTCCCTGTCTTGCACCAAAACAGGCCAACCCCAAGATCGGTAATTATGTTGCATTATCCTCACTTTTGCTGATGCTTATGAAATGGGTGACTGCACCCATTCTCTGACATTCTTCTGTTAGAACATAGAACATTACAGCGCAGTACAGGCCCTTCGGCCCTCGATGTTGCGCCGACCTGTGAAACCAATCTGAAGCCCATCTAACCTAAACTATTCCATTATCATCCATATGTTTATCCAATGACCATTTAAATGCCCTTAACGTGGGCGAGTCTACTATTTTTGCAGGCAGGGCATTCCACGCCCTTACTACTCTGAGTAAAGAACCTACCTCTGACATCTGTCCTATATCTATCACCCCTCAATTTAAAGCTGTGTCCCCTCGTGCTAGCCATCACCATCCGAGGAAAAAGGCTCCCACTGTCCACCCTATCTAATCTTCTGATTGTTCTTGCTGCAATGCAATAAAGTACTTTGCTTAGGTTAGCACACAGTCAGCACAGTTTTGGATGAAGTTCCCAGAACATGGAGACCAGGATTCTGTCCAGGCACGCATTGGAGTATTCCAGTTTGGATGATGTGTGTGAGGATTTCTGCAACAGGCAAGTGAGGAGGAATGGACGAGGGCAATTTATAGTCCCCAACTCCGTCAAAATCTGTATGTTTATTATCCCTTCATCACCTCACTCAGCTCTCCCAGCCTTACATATATCATACCATCCCTCCTCATTCACTGACAATCTCTGTCTTCCTAACTGTGGCTTTTGTGAATCTCACTTCCTCTGTGCTGGTGTCCACGTTGAGGCATCATGCTTGAGAATTCTTACCCAAGTCATAGAGTCATATGGCATAGAAACAGGCCCTTCAGCCCACCACAACTATGCCAACCAACAAGCATCAAACTACACTAATCCCATTTACCTGCACTTGATCCATAGCCTACTGTGCCCTGGCACTTTAAGTGCTCATCCTGAAGCTTCTCAAATGTTGTGTGAGTAGCTGCCTTCACCACCCTCTCAGGCAGCACGTTCCATATGCCTGCCACCTTCTGGATAAACAAAATTTTTCTCATATTTCCTCTAAGCCACTTGTTTCCTCACCTAAAACTAATGCCCTCTGGTCTTAATCATGTCTGCCATGGGGAAGAAATTCTCACGATCTGCTCTGTCTATGTCTGCAATAATTTTGTAAACCTCAATGAGATCCTCCATCAGCCTCCTTTGCTTCAAGGAAAACAAACCCAGCCTCTCCTCATAACTTAGACTTTTCATTTCAGGCAACATCCTGGTGAATATCTGGTACACACTGTCTCGTACAGTCGCATCCTTCCTATAGTGTGGCAACCAGAACTGCACACAGTATTCCATCTGTGGCCTAACCGATGGTTTATAACGTTATAACAAGGCTTCCTTGCTCCTACATTCTGTGTTCCAGCAAATGAAGGCAAGCATCTCATGTGATACAACAAGGTGTAGAGCTGGATGAACACGGCAGGCCAGGCAGCATCAGAGAATCATAGAATCCCTACAGTGTGGAAACGGGCCCTTCGGCCCAACAAGTCCACACCGACCCTTGCAGCATCCCACCCAGACCCATCCCCCTATAACCCACACACCCCTGAACACTATGGGCAATTTAGCATGGCCAATCTACCTAGCCTGCACATCTTTGGACTGTGGGAGGAAACCGGAGCACCCAGAGGAA